GGGTCGATAAATTTAAGAAAAGAAGTGTTTGTTTACAGATTAAACAGTACATTAGATGTGTACTGTATATAAGAAAGTTTAAAACAATCATTTGGGGATCTGAAATGGTTTATTCAGTTTACATTATTTCTAATGGGGAAAAATGATTTGGTTTTCTAACACATTGCTTCTCGAATAGCCTTCCTAATGAATTAAGTTTGAGAACTGCGATTCCACTGTATTTAGAAAAGGGATTGGTAGTGACTGAGTACCAGCATTGGTTAACTAAAAGAAGTCATTCATTCTAGCCCTGGCTGGGTGGCTCAGTTGATTGGAGCATCATCCTGTACAACAAAAAGATTGTGGGTTTGATTCTGGGTCAGGACACATCACCAGGTTTTGGATTTGATTCCCTGTTGGGGTGCATGAAAGAGGCAATTTATTGATGTTTCTCTCTCACATCAATATTGCTCTCTCTCTTCTCCCCCCTTCCTCTCTCTCTCAAAATCAGGATCTAGGGTCTCAGTGAGCCTCTTTATATAAAAAACACATAAAGAACTCAGTGTGCTTGGCAAATGTCAGAACTGTTAATATAACACATGGGTTTGTAGTTTGTTTAATGTTTGTACCAAATATTGAAAGAGTAATTAATAATCTGATGTCAACAGAAAGGGGAGGCTTCTAGGTTATGCTGTAGGGCTTTTCTATCCTTATTCAGTGTTCAGCAACTTTTTTGGTCAGTATTTTGTTTTTCAGAGTTAAAAATCATTAAAATGGCTTAAAAAGTTTACTATTTAATACTCTGGAGGGAGCTATTAATAGTTCACTCAATGTTGCCTGAAGTACCCGAAGAGTAGCTGAAAGACGTGTTTGTTTTGTATGTGGCTGGGGGGACACTAAATGTAGTAGTTAGGAGGAGGGAGCCTTTGCTGCTCTGTGCGGGAGGTCTAGGTGGTGTCTGAATGTCCCCCTTTCAGGGTTATTGAGAATCCATGGCTACATTGGGTGAGAGCTTAGGTGCCTTCCAAGTTTGCTTTTAATTCTGACTTCGTGAAATGAAAAATCGAGATCTAGAATTTTAAAAGAATTATAGGGAGTGTAAGATATAGGGGGTGTAAGGAATCCTTTAGCCTACTCAGTAAGAATAGAATAAAGGAGGTCCCAGCATCAGAACGAAGGTAATTATTAGATTGATCACTTGGGTCATTTGCAATCTTGAGAGTCTATAATGTAAGGGCTTTATAAATCCCTTAATAAATGTTCCTGGCTTTCACAGTTCTCTCATTAGATTTTAGCATACTAACAGGAATTATTCCTTTACTATTTTTCTTGTGAAGTTGAAATTCAGTAATGGGCATTTTTCTGTGTTGTAGTTAAGATAAACTGATTACAGAAAGTTAAGCTCATCATAGCGACCTAGTAGTGATGGTCTTCTGCCTGTTTTTCATTCCTGTTAAAATGCAAATGGAATGGGTGGTTTTAATTTCATTGAAGTTAAAGGTAATACTTATTAAATCTTTTCTTCAGGATTAAACCTTATCTTCTAAGGCTGAGGAACTTCTGGATTTATAAAATTGGTTGAAATAGCTGCACTTTGAAAGTCTGTTTTTAATCTTATATAAGCAAGCCCCTCATTTTCAGAAACTTGTAAAATTTGAAACAGTGTGATCTGGCTTAGTTAATTTTTCACTGTTGGTCTTGGGGAGTTCTATAGTTAAAACGTATTTTATTTTGTGTTGCAAGCAGGTTTCTGAAGCATTCTTGGAAAGTTAATGAGTAGAACCCGGAGAAGAGAGTAAAAAAAGCATGGCTTCCATAGATCTAACTTCCCAGGAAAACATGGGGTACAGGAGCAAGTTAAATAGCACCGTGAGGAGGCAGTTGATCAAATCCAGAATGTGGGACCTTCCACAGGATATTTGGCCTGGGTACTTTCAAAATTCAGTATCATGAAAAAGAAAAAAGGCAGGGGCTTTAGATTAAAAGACAATGACAATGCAATATATGAGCCTTATTGGATTCAGGTTTGAGGGGGGGATTATTACAGCATTTTAGGGACAGTTAGAAAAATGGGAATATGGACTAATTCAATGATATTAATGTTGTAGCACCTGTGTCTGACCACTGAGGTCAGACCAAACCTGGGTTCAGCAACCTTGGTCCTTGGGTTCTCGCTAGGAAAGAATTCAGAGCGAGACCCAAACTGTAAGAGAACATGTATTTGGTAAATTACAGAGGTAGAAGTAATTCCTAGAAGAGATGGGCTTGGGAATAAGTTATGAAGGTAAAGGAAGGGCGCTTGGAGCTTGGGAGTGAGGGAGCTAATGGTATGCCTGGTGGGATGGGGTGGGGGAGGGGGGAATGGGGAAGGGGCAGGGAAAGGCATGGGAGTGCCCAGGAGGGAGAGCCCTCGGCTCTCCTAAGAGTTCTGAGGGTGGAGATTTTTTTTGGGAGTGGGGGCGGGCAGGGAAAGATCTTAATAGAATATTCAGTGGCCTTCCAGGTGTGTCCATTCAGGGTTGTGGTCGTCATTGATGGATTTGCTGGCACCCGGGCAGAGGTCAGTATTCAATGCAGCTGGCCCTGATATCAGCTGTGGCTGGTTTTGTTGCTGATGTGGGCCTGAAATACAACTGAGGCCTAGATGTTATCTCCAGGGAGGAAAGGTCAGGGGGTCCAAACTGATACGCTAGGGGAGGAAAAGTTACCCTGGGGCAAGGTCCCACCTACAATTGACAGTTCATCTACCCTAGTGACCTGTACCTGGCCCATTGACCTTGCTCTGCTTATGTCTAACTGCCTATAGCAGCAGTTCTCAACCTGTGGGTCACGACCGCTTTGGGGGTCAAACGACCCTTTCACAGGGGTCACCTAAGACCATCGGAAAACACATATATAATTACATATTGTTTTTGTGATTAATCACTATGCTTTATGTTCAATTTGTAACAATGAAAATACATCCTGCATATCAGATATTTACGTTACGATTCATAACAGTAGCAAAATTACAGTTATGAAGTAGCAATGAAAATATGGTTGCGGGTCACCACAACATGAGGAACTATAATTAAAGGGTCGCGGCATTAGGAAGGTTGAGAACCACTGGCCTATAGCTTCAAGACACTGAAAATAATCTTAAATGTGTAAACGGTATTGTAGTTATAGAGAAGAATGAGTGCCCTTATTTTTTAAGAGATGCATGCTGGAATATTAGTGGTAAAATGTATGATGTGAAATATAACTTCAAATGGTGGTAGTGGTCGGGAGACTATACATAATATGTGGAGAGAAATCAGATTTTGGCAAGTTAACGGTCACTGAATCCAGGTGGAGGGAATACAGGATTTTCTGAATGTTTGAAATTTTTCATAATAAAATGGAGAAACTTAATCACTTCTGGACTTTTCATACACACACACACACACACACACACACACACACACACAAGCTTTAGTATGAAGAGTAAAGCTTTTAAAGCCAATCAGTACGTTACTTGAATGAACAGGGGTTGGCATTATTCATTTCTGTGAGTGAGGTGTAGGAATAAAGTGTAACATCCGTTTTTACTTGTCTACGTACTTCATTTTATTGTACTTGGTATAGCACACTTGAATTTTCTAAATAAAATAATTCCTTAAAAGGCTTTTAAATAGAATTTAAAATGTTTTCTCTGCTTTTTTGTTTGAAGGATGAGCATATTGGCTTATAAACATTGACTTTTGAAGTCCATTTGTTTATAAATGAAATCTACTTGGAAATAATTTTTTGGACAACCTATACCTTAAAGCATCGATATTCAACTGGTGTGCTGCAAGAATTTTTAAAACATGCAGTACCTGACTGCTTCATCAGGGCACTGACCTCCTTTCCCTTAGATTATCAAATAAAACAATGACAACAGCCAGCACAATAGCCATTTGTGAATGAATCAAAATTATACCCTTTTTTGGTCAGATCAGCAAAAAATACCATATATTTTCTGGTGTGCTGCAGAATTTTAGTAATTAGTTTGTGTGCCGTGCGATGAAAAAGGTTGAAAATCGCTGCCTTTAAATGACTTAAAATGCATTGTGGTTTAATTTGCATGGTAGGAAGAACCCACTTGAACTACGCTTGGCCACAGACCTAGAGAAAAGTTCATGGGGAAGTAAACACTAAGTTTCACTTGTAAGAAAAGGATTTAATATTCTAAAAATTCTAAAAGCACATTCATAATGTGTTCAGCAGTTATTGCAAACAACCATTTGATAGTGTGTGATTAGCATTTTTGTAAAACTAAACTTCTAATTAAAAAACTAAAAAAAATCCTGAAGAGTTATATCTTTATTTCCTGCCAATATTACTTTTGTATTAATTTATTTTAATAGCTTATATTGTGAAATACAAAAATACCATGTATTATCTTATCAAGTAACTTCTCTGTGAACTGTGTGTGTAGTAGACATTAATTGTTAAATAATGCGATTCTACATGAGAAAAATTATGTAACTTTTAGGCTTGTCGTGCAAATTACTGAAGATTTTAATTGCCATAAATGGGTTCAGTTTTGATAAGGGAAAAAAACCTGTTACAGATTATATCTAACATTACTGTTTCAGGGCTCTGGTGAGTGTTAATTCAAGTCTATTATGTTTAGTATGAAGTGGGTGAAACAAGTTAAAAGACACATTGTAGCCTAAAGCTTTCTTGAATTGGCCGGGCGGTGATGGGTTTAAGTATGAGTAATACTTCGTGTGGGTGTGTTCTCTATATAATTGTGCTGGCATGTCCTAAGTCCCTCCTTTCCTTCCTCCTCTCTCCTCTCTCCTGGTATGCAGAGTGTTTGATTTCTGACGGTGGAGGACAACAGCTCTCAATAAGTGACGCCTTCATCAAAGGTAATTTTATCCAAAGCTGCACTTGCAGTGTTGTCTGTTTTGTTCATGAGGTTATACTTAGGTCTAGCACATTGATTGGCTCAAAGTAGGTACTGAAAATATGGTTATTTTAGTGTCATTGGAACAGTTTTTAGTATGTGTAGTAACAGAACGTTGAGACTCAAAAATATATTTTTGGACTTGGTTTGAGAGAAGGTCTTTGATCTGAAAAGTAACTCCTTAAAAGGCTTTTAAATAGAATTGTATTCTTTTATAGGCATAAGTAGTTAATGCTCTCTTATAGCATGAACATAATATTAAGTTTGATCTATATATTGTCAAACTTGTCAAAAAGCCCACAGGCAGACCTCATCCAGTTGAGGATGCTGCTTGCCCTGTGAAGTTGGGAAAGAAAGTAGGCAGAAGAGGGGAATAAGAACTAACTCTGCTGATCAATTTTTGGGAGACAAAAGAAAGTATAGAAGAATGCAAGCCTTTTCCTACTCCTTTCCTCCTTAGCTTATTGTGGAGTAAAGACATCCTTACTTAATTTTCTGTAACATTTCACAGTTTAGGCCTCAGGTCATGGGAAGGTTTCAAATCTAAGAAAAACTAGCTGATACAAGGGAGGCCCCTTGCAGCTGATCTTAAAATTTAGAAGTGTTTCTAAAATTCACCTCCAAGCGTCTGGTTCAACTAGAAGTTTATTGACCTGCCGTTTACATAACTGAAACGTGCAGTTCTTGTACCTTACATGTGATGGATGCGTGCTTTACTATATAGTCTGTGGACTGTTTGGTTAGAAGTTTTTTTGTTTGTTTGGTTTGTTTTGAGAGGGAAAGGATTAGAGAATTTTTGTAAGCATTTCCCACCTCTTCTTATTTATTTAATCACATTTCAACATTTACTTAGCATATTTTTTTGTAAAACATTTTATATTATCTATTATTTTTTTCATCTGGATCCATTTCTATTCTTTTTAAAAATGTAAGGATTGTACAGCATTTTAAATAAATTGTTAGTTATTCTGTTCTAATATGTCTTTATAGCTAATTTTGGGGTCTGACTTGTAAAGGTTTTGCTAACGAGAAAGCCTTCGTCCCCACATAGAAAAAGAAGCACTCCCTGGGATGGTCCAAGTAGACTTTCTGCCTTGTCCCGTGGTGGGTCAGCCCCCACACTCACATGCTGTTCTGTCACCGTTCAGATTTCTGCTTGTGGTAGCTTTCAGTTTGTAATTTTCTAGGGAAGAACATCCCCCTCCGTTTTTAATGTCCCAAAACAAAAGTACTATAAAAGTCTCATCTGCTTTTCAGAAGCTGTATTTATAATTATTGGCTTGAGAGTCCTACTTGCCTATGTAAATTTCCTTTTCATAGTTCTGTTTCTGATTTTAGCTGTTGCAAATATTGATGATCTAACAGACATAATTATTTTATTTATGTATTTGTATATGTCTGCCTTTTTACACCAACAGTTTGAATTGCCTAACTTAAAAATATTTTAAAAATAAATTATGTGTAGAATCTCAGAGGGAAGGCAAGGAAGGGTAGATGGGTGGGAAGAGATCAGCTAGAGAACTTGTATGCATATATGCATAACCCATGGTCACAGACAATAGGGTGGTGAAGGCCTGGGGCAGGGGGTGGAGGAGGGCTAGAAAAAGATTTAGAAAAAATAAGAAAATTATGGCAGCCTCTAAATCACAGGTTGATGATATAAAACATGATAATAAGTATAATTTCTTACTGTACACTTTACTTAGAGTCCTTATTTAATCGCCGAGTGGAGGAAAAATCCAAAGAGCTGCCTTTCACGCCTTTGGGCTGGCACCATAACAACCTGGAGCTACTGAGGGAGGAGAATGGAGAGAAACAAGCCATGGAGAGGTTGCTGTAAGCAGTGAGCTTTTTTATTTTAATTTTCCACTTTAATAATCTTCAGTGACTTGATAGGCATATGTGTAGTTCTTTTCCTTTATAAAAACAAAACCAAAATATTTTTATAAAACAAGAATCCTAAACTGTGCTTGTCTGTCCCTTCTGTAATCTGTGTGTTAAATTTTTTATCAGATTAAAGAGGTTATCTTAATTGAAGATATTCACAACTTTATGTGTAGATCATTACGGTGCAGATATAATGAAAGAATAAAATTGACCAGGAATACCTTATTTGTGAGCCTTCCTTTATATGCTTACTAGAGGCCCGATCCACAAAATTCTGTAAGAGTAGGCCTTCCTTCCTTCGGCTGCCTGCACCAGCTTCCCTCGCAGCCCCGGCTTCGCCCAGTCTAATTAGCATAGTATGCTTTTATTATTATAAAATTTCTCTGTAGACTGCCTATTGCATCTTCAGGATTATTGCCTCCGGCAGTATTAACCATGCAAACTTCTTTTTTGTAACATTTTTGTAGTTCAGCTAATCATAACCACATGATGGCACTACTCCAACAGCTGCTCCATAGTGAGTCATTGTCACCATCTTGGAGGGACATCATTGTATCGCTGGTCTGCCAGGTTGTTCAGACAGTCAGACCCGATGTGAAGAACCGTGATGATGACATGGATATCCGTCAGTTTGTCCACATCAAAAAAGTGAGCTCTGCTAATGCTTCTCTGATGCTAGGGACTGATGAGGTGGCCTGATGATGGTTTGTCTCTTAATGGTGATCTGAAGGGGTCATTGACGGAGAAGTCCACTTGATGACTTCAGGGAGCTGGTTGTGTTCTGATTAAAGAATAATGCATAGACCTCCATCTTGCCTACAGAAGGGAAATCACATCCATGTTTGACTTTATTGCATCACTTGGCATGCAGTATAATACCATAAGTATGCTAGTACATGCCTCCATAACAATTTGTGGCATGAATCACATAGAATATTTTTTCTGAGTTAGTTATAAAGCACATTTGGAAACCAAATTAGCCAGATGACTTTTTATTATGCAGTTGGACTGATGTAATGTAAGGTTTAATTACATAATATTTCACACACAGCTGTGACAAGTTACATATGCGTTCCAAGATTTATCAGCTAAGCTGAAATGGAGATCTTCTGAGAAGGTGATCGAAGTGGGTTGTAAGCAAGAACATCTTCCAAAGCTGGCCCTTCTCTGGGTAACATTTTTGTAGTTTTTGAGAGTCTATATGTCCAAAGGCTTCTTTCTTAAATACTCAAATGCCACCAAGTACCTTTGAGAGAACAGATATGCTCTAGGAATATTTTTACAACAAAGCAGAATGAGTAATACAAAACAAAACAGTCCATCTGAATCCCCCTGAAAAGCATCATGAGTAGTTGGTGAGCATTCCCTACTTTAATTCTCCTGTGTTTACAGAAGCTTTTGATTTTTGGTATCTAGTTGCTAGCAAACAGATAATAAAATGCACTCACCAAACCTAAATAAAATAAATAAGTTAATTCATTAAAGGGTATTACCATGAGGGTGCTAGACAAGGAGGGGAGGGGTATTTAACTTAATAGTGGTTTTAATTGCCGGGTTGCACCAATTTGTTCACTCAAGTAGGTATTCTAAAGTACCAGATAGTTCTTTGGAGAGTGGGAGGTGTGAAAATAGACAGTTGTGTTAGATAACATTAATTTTTGGTTGAAAGGAAGAACTATATACTGAAACTTTCTGTGATTTTATTATGTAACAGATAAAATAAAAAAATGGAAATAAAAAACAGCATCTATCTGACTGGAGTCTAAGGATGTATAATTGAATTTTATTGTTTTCTTGTTTCATCAGATCCCAGGTGGAAAGAAGTTTGATTCTGTGGTTGTTAATGGATTTGTTTGTACCAAGAATATTGCACATAAAAAGGTAATGTTCTTTTCAACCATGGAGTTCAGCCTGCTATGACTTGTGCCAAGCTAATAAGTTGCAGTACCTCATCATGGACAAAAAAGAGAATGGGCATTGAGGAGCAACTTGGCAGTGTCTGCCAGGGGGCAAAATTTTGGAGTTTCAGGGCAGGTCCTCCAGAAATGATGATGATTGGGATTTGGAAGTGGAGTTCATCAGAAGAAAGAGGGAGGTGTAGACTTCTAGACCAGCACAATGATAGGATCCTGGTGTCATTTCTCCCCTGACCTTGCCTCAGTCTCTATTGGACTGGAGTCTCCAGAGGACTAGGGCTGAGCTGCAGAGCTGTCACTGGTATTTTGTTATCTTTCTCACCTATCTCACCTTCAGGCCCGAGGCCACTATCTGAGGAGTGGGGTGAAATAACTTGGTGTATTAAGGAAATGCAGAGATCCCTTGGTGCAAGATGGGAACTGGAGGGGCTGGAGGAAGCAGGCCAAGGGCTTTGTAGCCCATGAAGTGGCTTACACTTTATTCTGAAGGTCACTGATTCTCAAAGTGTAGTGTACATCAGGATCATGTGTGGACCTCTTTAAAAATGTAGATTCTTAAGCCCCTCTCCTAAAGATTCTCACTCAGTAGGTTTAGGGGAGTGGGAGTGTGGGAAATAGGGGAAGGGCGGGCTGCTGTTAAAGTAGGAATTGGTGGGGGGGTTCCCATGTCATTTGTTGATCCTTACATTTTGAGAATCCAGTGATCAACAGTAGAGTCCTCAAACTTTGCTGTGCTTCAGAATCACTAAGGAAACTTTCTGAAAATCTTTATATCCTCACCCCACCTCTGGGAATACTGATTTGATTACAGCGAGAACTCAGGCAGATATCTAACTTGAGGGTCTAGATGAGCTATAGCCCTGGCTTCACTTTTCTAAGCAGAGACTAATACTTTATTTTTTGTAAGGCATTAACCCTCCTGAAAATTGTTAGTCATAGTAGATAAATAAAAGTATGCCTGGATTTGATACTTCATAGCAGTGATCCAAAGTCAGTGTTTCTACAGTCTTTCCAAAATAGTACATTACCCATTAAAGTAGTCCTTTAAACCAAATTAAATGATCTCTGTTGAACGAAGAGGTAAGTTTGTTGTGTTCTTCCCCAGAACTGAAAATTGTATGAGGGTGTGGTAGAAGCATGCCTGAATGACTGTCTTGCCCCACTGCCCATATTTAGCTAGTCTTTCCTCTGTAGTTTCTAAAAGAGCCCTGACTGTAGTTCCCTCGCTGGCGAGTCACTGCTTTCAGGACCGTTTGTCAGCTGGGAGCCTATACGCTTGGTCAGCCTGAAACTCCACTCCATTGGAGCATTCAGTCTTTCTGCCCGTCTTCAGTTGCCTGGTTAGGGTATATTGATTGACTCTTTGCTTCTGGTGATGCTTTAAGGTGTTTTTTTAAACTTCTTGTTACTCAATTGGCTTGCCAATATATGATGCTTTGAAATTTATTCTTTTAGAAATATATTCAGGAGGCATTTTAACTCATTTCTCCCTCCTCTAAGCCCCAGACTTGGTGTCCCTTATTGGAGTGTTAGAAATAAGATAATAGGTAAGATTACAGTGGACTAGATTAAAATAGCACTAGTGAAACAGAGCTTAATTTTGTATTGCTTTGAGCTAACTTACTTGCTTTGAAAAAATATGAGTACCACAGAAGAACTAAATGAGAGTATTTTAATACAAATATAAGAGGAATTAAGAACAGAATGAATTTAAAGTTATGATTAAAGAAAGTCTATAAAGTACAAACTTTAAAGCTTTAACAGACTGGTGTGTTTTTGGTTTTTTTTATAGATGAATTCTTGTATTAAAAATCCCAAAATTCTTCTATTGAAGTGTTCCATTGAGTATCTCTACAGAGAAGAAACTAAGTTTACCTGCATTGACCCTATTGTGCTGCAGGTAAGAACATCTAACTGAAACAAGAACCTAGAAGGATACATGTGCACTGTGACACTTGCAAACTCTTACAACTCATTCCAGCTGATGAAATTTGACAGGCAAAGAAACTTGATTGCTCTTGTTTTATTTTAAACATTTATTAGAAAAGACATTTTCTTGTATTACACTTTAGAGGGTTACCAAAACCTGTCTCCTTAAAGTGTTCAAAGTGTTAAAGGGAACACATGATTTTCAGGGAATATAGGGGGGAAAAGAGTGAAAATCCAGTTCCTGGTTTTCCTTCTCACTTGGGTCATTGATTTACTTGAAGGATTTCCCTATCTTACCAGGTTTCCAATGGTACTACCTGGTTTTAATATAGCCTTTCTATTCATCCACCTGTTCTTAGAGCATCAGTTAGTTTTATGTGCAATTAGTAAATGGGCATAACGTCAGATGGAAGTTGTGTTGGTTTCCATGTGGTTTTTCATAAGTAAGGGGGCCCAGAACGCTGTAACTGGATTATAACCCTCAGCTCTGTGGCTGCACAGGCAAAACCCTTTTGCCTCTGCGTTAGGAAATTAAAAGTGAGCTGCTGCTCAAAGGGCCACCTCCCAGGAAGGCACACCCCAGCCCTGGGTGGCTGTCACTGCTCTGCTGCTCAGAGCTCTGCTGCCAGCTGTGACGCTGCGGTTGCTTTTATACTTTCTCAATTTCCCTTGAGGCAGCCTCCAGCTATGCTGAGCAGCCTGCCTAGGCTGTCCAAGTTCTCTCTCAAGGTACCAATTATTATATTTGTTGGTGCTCTGCCTATGAAGTTGCGTAAGTTTTAAGTTTTTCTGCTCCAACCCTTTTTATCCCATCAATGGTATTAGTTTTAATTTGTGATTGTTCAAAATGGGAGGCTTTCAGGAATGTGTATATCTTATTATAGCAGAAACACTTACATTTGGTTCCAGAAACAATTAGGAAGAACATTACTTGAAAATTCATAGGTGATAGGCACATTTTTCAGAGAGTGGAAGGAACAATCACTTTTGAACTGAATCCATAGACACCACTAGAAGGAACTATCTTGTGGTGAGAGGCACCAGGGTTTATGAAACTATGAAACTCTGCTCTGTTGCTTAATGAACTCTGTTACTGGGCTGTTTCCTATTTGGAATTTAGCCATGTATCAGTAAAAATGAGAGGCTTTGACCAGATATACCACTGTTCTAGCTCTGACTCTGGATTTTCATTGGAGAATTGAAATAAGGAATAAGGGGAAACACAATTATCATTCATGGTACTTTGATGCTGGTTTTCTGGATCTCACCAAAGGTGTCAGCAGAAGACTTTTAGGATTCGATCACAACTGCATTGATTGTAATACACATCCTGGTTGCAGAGATGGTACAATGTGTAAAATTGTGCATCTTGAAATTGATGAACTAGGTAATTGAAATCCACAATATAATTTTTAAAAAAAGTTTTACTTAAATTTATCTACTTTATTTTAACTCCATTCTTGCAGTCAGGTTAATAGACTAAAGTCTTTACATGCTAGAGAAGCATGCTCTGAGCAAATATGTACTTAAGAAACCTGGCTTGATTTGTATAGCCTCAAGCATCCTGTTCATAGGTGCTTTAAGGCATAGTTTATAATGGCTTTAACTCCTGCCCTATTAGTTTTTAGTTGGACTTAATAGAAAATATCAGCTGATTTGAGTTTTTCCTTCTCCCCTACTCAGTTGTGGAATAACCAAATAAGCAAAGAAGCTGAAAAGTAGATAGAAGGAGGAGGATGAGAAACCAAGGACAGGGAGGAAATTAGCCTATATCTTTACACTGTCTTCACCAGGCCCACCCTGTAGTTCTCTTGCCACTGCTCTATTCCATGCTCATGCCTTCCTCCTAATACTCTCTCGTTGTGGACTCGGGTCCAGGCCCCTTTTTGTTGTTGTTGTTAACATGGTGTCTAACATACAATCAGAGGCCCGGTACATAAAATTCATGCACTGGAGGAGGGGCGTCCCTCAGCCTGGCCTGAGCCCTCTCGCAGTCCAGGACCCCTCTGGGGATGTCCGCCTGCCAGTTTTCTTCTGACTGCTTTTAAGATGTTCTCTGCCTGTGTGTGTGTGTGTGTGTGTGTGTGTGTGCGCGCGCGCGGTTTCCCTTTAATGCACCCAGGTATTAATATTATTTCTCCTCACAGTCTGGGACCCCTCTGGAGATGTCTGACTGCTGGTTTAGGATTGGGCCTAAGCCGGCAGTCGGACATCCCTCTCATAATCTGGGATCCCTCGCTCCTTACTGCTCGGCTCGCTGCTCCTTAGTGGCAGGCTCCTTACCGCTGAGCTTGCTGCTCCTTAGCACTGCTGCGGAGGTGGGAGAGTCTCCTGCCACGCTGCTGTGCTCACCAGCTGTGAGCCCAGCTTCTGACTGAGCGGCGCTCCCCTGTGGGAGTGCACTGACCACCAGGGGGCAGCTCCTGCATTGAGATCTGCCCTCTGGTTGTCAGTGCACATCATAGCGACTGGTTGTTCTGGTCATTCCACTGTAATGTTCGCTTAGGGTTTTATTATACAGATGATTGGCATTGGAATGGGAGGAAATGTATTTGCCATTCCTGTACCAGGGGGCAGAAACTTGAATAAAGTCACCTTATACTTTATTGGAGCTCCACAAATAAATTACAGTTTTGTTAAGAATGGGAGAATTAGGAAATACATAATTTCTATCAGTGAAACAGTGAGGTGAGAAGAAATATAATCGGGCAGGTTCATTGTAGTGACTAGTCTCTTCCATTGTTGGTGGCACTGACCAACCATGAGCACAATCTTGCTCAGCAAACACTTTGGGCAGATGGGGCAGAAGTGACAAACATGCTCACAGAAGTTTTAAGAAACAATTAATGAAGTGTATTGTTTTAATTCTGGTATTTATAATATTCATTTGCTTTGAAAAGAAGCTTTGTCATGAAAATTGTATTAAGAATTATGTTTTAATTTTTAACTGTAACTGTTCTAGGTAGAGTATGATCTGTTGAAAGACTGAAATTGGGAAGTAGCTGAGAGTATGTTAGTTATTTATACAGATACTAAAAAAAAATAGATGCTTTGGTTAGTTTCAGAATGCAAAAAGGGGGAATCTTTATATTAAAAACACTAGAAATTGCTTTTATTTTAGGGGTCATGAGATTAGTGTCTTTTGTTTTGTTTTAACCTCTGAGAACTAGCTAATTGAATTCTTGGTTTTTATAGTACAGGTTATTAAGAATTAAAAATCTTTCAAAGTAGAACTAGTGAGTTGAAGAATGGAATTAAGCATAATCAGCAGTTTGGAAAGGTGAATAATACTCTTGGTTGTGTTTGAATGGACTTGCTTATAGACTTATTTATGGATGAAGAAAACTTGAACTAAGATTGATATTAATAGACAAGCCATGCTGATTTTTTAATGTGTAGATCTTGAATTGTACCAGGTGTAATATTTCTGATTTTTGTTCTTTAGGAAAGGGAATTCTTGAAGAATTATGTTCAGCGAATAGTTGATGTCCGGCCCACCCTGGTTCTAGTAGAGAAGACGGTATCTCGGATTGCCCAGGACATGTTATTGGAACATGGCATTACTTTGGTCATTAATGTAAAATCAGTGAGTTTCTTATTTTTCCGTTATTTTAAATCATAGCTTTTGATTGTATTTGCATGAGTGGTAGGGATGCAGGGACCACTGATTGTTTGTTTTTTTGCTGACCATGTGCATTGAAAGTAGAACAGGAGGCACGGCAGCTATTTCATTATTTCAGACTGGAGCTCTCGGACTGGAAGAAAGTGTGACTGATTATGTAACACTCATCATAGGCGTCTGCAGGACCAAGGTGCAGTTGTCATTCATTCAGTGGTATTTGCTGGTCCCTCAGATTGGGGAATTGTACAAGCAGAAAATGTTGTCTCCCTTGGCAAGTTACTCTCTTCAGAAGAGGCCAGTTCCAGAAGTCCCCGCCCCTAACAGCATTCTGTGCCAGTGAATGATGCTTACATGCCTTTTGATGTTTTCAGTAGAAGTATGGTTTATTTTATTGTTATTCCTCAGCAACTATGTGTAGACTAATCTAGGATTAGAAAGGGTCATATAAGTATTAAAATTAAGGAAATTCATTGTAAAGGTTATTTAAAAATTTTTCTGTTACTTTTCCAGATTAAATTTACTAAGAATTGTTTTCCTCTGATTTTGTAATATAATGCTTTTCTGTGTTCTAGCAAGTTTTAGAACGTATCAGTCGGATGACCCAAGGTGATTTAGTGATGTCGATGGACCAGCTGCTTACAAAACCTCACCTGGGCACCTGTCACAAATTTTATATGCAAATATTTCAGTTGCCTAATGGTGAGTGAGCTTTTTTTTAAATCTTTATTGTTGAAAGTATTACGTATGTCCCCTTTTTTCCCCCCCATTGACCCCTCCTAGCCCGCTGGTGAGTGTTCTTTAGCATAGACTCACCTGAGATTGGGACCTGAGAGTATTAGTAACCTCATCAGTACTACAGTGTTCACTTAGTAGGAAATACCTGTTAGCATTGGTTAAATGAGGATAGGCCACTGGGACCTTATTCCTTGTAGATGTTGTGAATTCATTCTGTCTGAACTTCTGGATTTCCACCTACTCTTAACTTTTTGTTTGTTTATTTGTAGAACAAACCAAAACACTGATGTTTTTTGAAGGCTGTGCACAGCACCTGGGCTGCACAATCAAGCTTAGAGGAGGCTCTGATTATGAGTTGGCTCGAGTTAAGGAGATCCTAATATTTATGATCTGTGTAGCTTACCATTCTCAACTCGAAATCTCCTTCCTCATGGATGAATTTGCTATGCCTCCTACGTTGACACAGAACGCTTCCTTTCATTCTCTGATTGAGGGACAGGAGGATGAAGGGACTGCACAAGAGCCATTCAGTGGTAGTCCCCTCCCCCGGGAGCCCGACTTGCCGTCTGAGTTTCTGCCCTGTGATGGTAGCAGTCTGCTAGAGTCCGGGCTTGTGTTTGAGAAGGGCGACCAGGAAAGTGACAGTGTCCCACAGGACGTTGCCCCCGTGAAGCACCAGGAATACGCCACGGCAGCTTGCCCGGCAGGCGTCCCCTGTGCGCTCTTTCCATCCGTCCCTGAATCACTGTTGCTGCTCCATGTGGACGAGCAGCAGGCTGCCCCAGGCACTGAGCAGCCAGAGACTTTGCAGCAAACAGATGAGCTAGAGGATCCCAAAAGCCAGATGAAAGCCTTCAGAGACCCGCTGCAGGATGACACCGGACTCTATGTTACAGAGGAAGTCACCTCTTCAGAAGATAAACTAAAGACCTATTCTTTGGCCTTTAAACAGGAATTGAAAGATGTGATCCTCTGTATCTCCCCAGTCATCACATTCCGGGAGCCCTTCCTTCTCACTGAGAAGGGGATGAGATGCTCTACCCGAGATTATTTTGCCGAGCAGGTTTACTGGTCTCCTCTTCTCAATAAAGAGCTCAAAGAAATGGAGAGCAGGCGGAAGAAGCAGCTGCTCAGGGACCTCTCCGGCCTCCAGGGGATGAACGGCAGCGTTCAGGCCAAGTCCATTCAGGTCTTGCCCTCGCATGAGCTCGTGAGCACTAGGATCGCTGAGCATCTGGGTGGCAGCCAGAGTCTGGGCAGAATGCTGGCCGACTATCGGGCCAGAGGAGGCAGGATTCAGAAAAGTTCAGACCCTTTTGCTTATTCAAAAGATGCATCAGGTACTCCAAGTGTCAAATCAGGAAGCAGAACTGAGGGTGATGAAGAGAAAGGCTTGATTCCAAGTGACGCAGTGTGGTCATCAAAGGTGAGCAAGTGCACTTTGGCTGCTAGTGTAAATTTAGAATGTGCTGGAAACTGTTATGGCGGTGAAAAAAGCAAGTGTGACAAATTGCATGCAGATTTATTTATTTCTTTTACGCCTTTTTTGATGTCAGGTCTATTGACTTACATGTTGCTTTAAAATGTATGAAGTAGGAGTATAATGCAATGAAGCTATGTTTTGATAAAAATGGGATGAACTCATGATAAATTAGGGAGAGCTGTGAGGGACGGGGAGTGTGGAGCTGCTTAAAAATTTTGGCAGGAGGACTTGGTTATGGTGTGGGTTGGTAGTGAGCGATGGAAGGTTATTGTAGGAAATGGATGTGTTTTTAAAAAATATTAGATTTGTTTATTTATAAACATGAAACACCCTACATTGTTATTTAATTATGGCAGCACTCTTTATCTTTACATTTAAAAAATTGAGGGCAAATTAAGGAAGATTCATTCATGAGCACATTATTGATGATGATGGCAGTAAAACTAATGAACAAATCCATCTTTAGATGAGGAAATGCAGTTGTTTAATAAAATGCATGGAAGCACCAGATAATAATTCTATACCATGTTTTATTTGTGAGGTTGGCTGGAAGGAAAGTGGTAAGAGCCATGGTAAATGAGGTACAGAAAGTACTTATAATAAACTTTATATAAAACTAGAGGCCTGATGCATGAAATTTGTGCAAGAGTAGGCCTTCCTTCCCCCGGCTGCCGGCACCGGCTTCCCTCCTGCACCCAGGACCCGGGCTTCCCTTGCAGCCCCAGCTTTGTCCAGAAGATCGTCTGGAAGGACGTCTGGTCTAATTAGCATATTACATTTTTATTATAGATTCTGTTTATATTACATTTATGTAATATATACAGAAATAGGGAGGTCTCTGTTAATTTACATGAGCATGCATATACCTTGGATTCAGGATTCCTATAACTTTTATAACTGATTCCTATACTAATAAGTAAGCACTTTGTATAAGGATGCTTACGATTTATTAGAATGTCTGTACAAGGATATTTTTACATAATTTCTGAGGCATAATTTACAGTTGTTTGCTATAAAAAGAATGAATTGGATCTTATTTAATGGCCCAGATAGAACCTATGGTATGCTTTCAAGTGTTAAAAGGCAAGTTGTATTTTAATAGATGTAGCATCATCCCATTTTTATAAAAACAATCCCCAGTGTATACTTACGTGGGGGTTTCTGTGTGTATATGTGTGTGAGCTAGTAGCAAGAATGCATGGTCTTTAACCATACGGTCAGGTTTGCCCATTGGTGGGGATCAGGTGGCCTCAAAGGAGGAGAGGCTTTATGTATTCCATGGACTTTTCCATCTACCTCTGTATTATCTGAATTCAACAGAGAGTGGGCATTACTTTTGAAATGATCAAAAACAGGTATAAAGTACAAATAAGTAAATTCCTTGGAATTTATATATCTGAATGTCTCAAATTGATGTTATATCCAGCCATTAGTTCAGACTGTTTCGTATTTAATTAACTGTATATTTCCAAAACAATTTAATGCTATTTTGTAAAAATAAATAGTATTTAAGATTAAACAAACTATTTAGACAACCATTTATATTTTTAACTTGAACTTTTTGGATTGTTTTATCACAAAAACTAACGGCTCTTCTTTATATTTAGTTTCTTTTAAGTCTTCAGCAGAAGCCTACAGATAGGAGGCTTTCAGAATTGAGTGGGATGTGTTGGGCTTTAGAAGCGAGCATTGGGCCTGGAGTGTGTTATGATTTGTGGGCGCTCATCCTCTCCTCCTGCAGGTGGACTGCCTGAACCCTGTCAACCACCAGAGGCTGTGCGTGCTCTTCAGCAGCTCCTCCGCCCAGTCCAGCAACGCCCCCAGTGCCTGCGTCAGTCCTTGGTAGGATTCCTGTCCCCCTGCACCATTGCACTTTACCTGAGAACAGAATTCAGTAACTTTAAGTAAAAATTCAGCTCTGGGGTCTGTTTTTAGGTACATGGCATGCTGATGATCATATATGAGTTGATAGAACTTCTAAAATTTGTGAGTTAAATATGAAATTTCTGTTTATTCATGGCTAGAAGTGAATGAGAATATCTTAAGAGTGAACAGAATGTGAGGCTGAAAGAGAAGTTTGTTATAAAAGTGAGGAAATAGATACAAAAGCTACTTTTCAGCATTTTGACAATAATGTAATTTAGGCAGGTTGTCCTTTAGGCATTATTTTTATAAAAACAGTCTTTGCCTTGAGTTTTATTCCAAAACTTAATTCTAAGTAGATTGATAGAAACATGTTTTATAACTTTTATATTTATATATATCTATACTTGTCTATCTATCCACACACACACACACACACACACACACACACACACAAACACAATAAAAGCCTAATATGTTAAGTGTCCAATTGATGGTTGGCCGTTCAACCAATCAAAGCGTAATATGCTAATGATATGTTAAGGCTGCTCAACTGCTCACTATGACATGGACTGACCACTAGGGGGGCAGACAGTTGACCAGTCGCTATAACGTGCATTGACCACCAGGGGCAGACACTCCGACTGGTAGGTTAGTTTGCTGCTGGGGTCTGGCTGTCTGGCTGATCGGGACCGAGTGAGCTGGGCTGGACACACCCTGGAGCCCTCCCACCGTCCCTCCCCAGCTGGCCAACCTCCATGTCTCTCCCCAGCCCTGGTCCGTGCACCACTGGGGTCCCTCTGCCTGGTCTGCGCCCTCTTGCAATCTGGGACTTCTCAGGGGATGTTGGAGAGTTAGTTTCAGCCCGATCCCACAGGGGAAGCGCTGCTCAGCCAGAAGCTGGGCTCGCGGCTGGGGTGGCAGGAGCCTCTCCTGCCTCCGTGGCAGTTGGACATCCCCTGAGGGCTGCAAGAGGGCACAGTCTGGGTTGAGCACATCCCCCTCACCACCCCCGCCCCCCAAGTGCAGGAATTTCATGCACTGGGCCTGTAGTATATTTATATATAAGTGATTTGTTTGAAATGGTAGTCCCAAAGCCTAGTTATTACATAGTTATCTTTAATTTTAAAAATACTGTGGAATGTAACTGCTTGTTTTTGGAGCACTGTTTCCATGACAAAATATATCTCATATTTTCACTTTGGACACCAGAAACACCTATTTCTGCCAGTGAGACCAGGGATTCTTCTAGTATCAGCAGTTGACGGGCTGGGAGAGGCAGGGAATGTTCTCTCCAGCTGTCTGGGCTCCTTAGGTCAAGGATTGAATAAGATGGGGGCTTCAACACTGGTCAGCTAAACTCCTTTGGGCATTTATAAATTAGAATTAAAGTGAAGAATTGGCTCTACTGGAGGAATTTGAGCTGCAGTTCACCAGGCTCAGTAAGGGTGGACTAGAGAGCAGGAGGCAGGATCCCATTTTGTGTTGACAGGGCTTAAAGCTCTGTAAAAGAGACGTGTACTCATTTAATATTATAATCATCCTGATTAAATAGTTTCATAAGATACTAAGGGACTGGGTGTGGATAAGATGCTAAAGTGTAGCTAGTCGAAACTCGTCGCAAAACCTGTTCTGTAACAAGAGAACATTACCTGCATCAGTACTATATCATAAGCACATCTAGTAGACAGTGTGTCTCATGAATTCTTTGCTGTGTGCTAAGTCTCATGATACATTACTAAAAGTGATCTCTTTCTTTAGGATTGTAACAATGGAGTTTTATGGAAAGAATGATCTTACATTAGGAATATTTTTAGAGAGATACTGTTTCAGGTAAGAATATATTTTCACTTTATGTTCCACTTGTGCTTTTTTGCCCGGAATTTCAACCTAAAACATAAACATGAGTTTATTGTAGCGTGGCCTTCACTTTCATGCCACATGCAAAGAAGTAGTCTATTCCATACACTATTATCCAGTTCATTCCTCAAATCTTTGCCCATCTAATTATCCTGCCAACCCTACGATTTTTTTTTTTTTTTTTTTTAGGATTTGTTTTTATAGTAATTCCAGTGAGAAGCAAAAGAAGCATAGGATCTCAGGTTTAAGCCTTAGTGCTATCATCTGCTATTTATATTTCAAAGAGCAAGTAATTTGATCTTTACCAGCCCCCTTTATAGGGAATAACAAGCTCCAGAAATGGAAGGAGTTTTAGGAATGCTCAGCAAATAGAAGGTGCTTACCAAACGGATTGTAGTTGAAGGCAGGGTGTTCAGCTATCGGCCCAAGCAGTGCTTTTAAGTGGAGCCCCGCAGACCGTCCACCAATCATTCTTACTCTAGAGAGGACGCTGCACTTTCTTGACAGTGGATTTGACTGTATTATGCATTACACATTGCTTTTCAGTTTTATGGTTAATGTGAGGACTTTCTTTTTTGTCAAAGGCCTTCTTACCAGTGTCCTAGCATGTTCTGTGATACCCCCATGGTGCATCATGTCCGGCGCTTTGTCCATGGCCAAGGCTGTGTGCAGATCATCCTGAAGGAGCTGGATTCTCCAGTACCTGGATATCAACATACAATTCTCACCTATTCCTGGTGCAGGATCTGCAAACAGGTTAATGGACTCTGTGGCTATATTTCATAGGGTATTCACTATTCTTTTTTTGTGAGGGAAGGTGGTCTGTTATGTTGAATGTGTTATTTGTCATTGGGTTCATATTTATTTACCTTCTAGTGTTGTATGTTCCATTTCATGTTTGTTTCTTGAAGATTCTATTTTAGAATTTATTGGTCATTATAAACAATATAGATACCTTGTCTAGTAAAATATATGGAGATTATGTCTTGACAGTTCTCAGTTATGTTTGTTTATTCGTTCAGCAAACACTGATTTGGCACTATCTATGTTCCCGATACTATGTTAGGCCCTAGGAATGAAAAAGAGCAATGTACAGGACTCCTTGTTCTCTAGGGGAGGAGACAGATTGGTAGCTGTTTATATGCTGGGATGTTTGTGTAAGTTGGAGCTTATAGCAACATTTCTACAGATGAGGCCATGTTTAAATTCATCTCCACTGGTTTTTCATGTACATTCTTAAGAAAAGAAGAACATGTCTTTTTCCTTTGGGGTGTGTGTGTGTGTGTGTGTGTGTGTGCGTGCGCGTATTTGATAACTCCAGAGGAAGTATTTGGTGTCAATATTGGTTTTAATATATACTTTTAATTTAAATTGTTTGCATTGAGCATGTGCCAAATTTAACTTCATTGGTACCTTTATTGGCTTATTTTGGAGTGTGCTTTGGAAGGCACATGTGGGAATTCCAGGTAAATTGACAGTCTGATCTACACTGATGTCAGTGGTTGAGGAGGGCAGAATTGGTTAGTTCCTTTCGCAGTAGCAAGCAGACAGCCATGATGTCATTCCTTGCAATATTCAGTCTTACCTTAAAAAAAATTTTTTTTTGATTTATTTCAGAGAGGAAAGGAGAGGGAGAGAGAGAGAGACACATCAGTGATGAGAGAGAATCATTGATCAGCTGCCTCCTGCATGCCCCCTACTGGGGATTGAGCCCACAACCCTAGCAATTGCTCTGGCGAGGAATTGAACTGTGACCTCCTGGTTCATAGGTCCAAGCTCAGTCACTGAGCCACACCGGCCAGGCACAGTCTTACTTACAAATGGGCAAAAGGCATGATAAAGCAACTTACAAATGGCCAGTAGTTTGTGAAAATAAATTTTGCGTATTAGTAGTCAAAGAAGTATAAGTAAAAACCAGTGAAGTGTGTTTCTATTTTTGTTCTTAAGAAATCATATTTCAAAGGTTTGTAATTCCTGGGATTGGTAAGAGAGTGGGGAATTGATACTTGGATCCTGTTCGAGGTTGTGTAAACTAGTAGTCCTTTTTTTGGAAAACAGTCTGTCAGAATGTGGCAAAGACTGTGTAAATGTCCATGTTCTTTGAATACTACTTTCATTCATTTATTCCAAGGAGATAATTATGGGTATGTATAAGTATTTATATACAAGGAAGTTTATTAGAGCCTCATCAAAATAAAGAACAGCTTGTAAATGACTTAAATGCCCATCAGTAAGGATTGGTTCATATATCCACATAATGGGATATTCTGCAGCCATTAAAAATCAAGTTGTAAAAGAGTATTTGATGTGGGAACATGTTTATGGTCCGTTGCTAGGTAAAAAAAAAGAAAGATTATGAAACTAACTGCAGGAAATAATTTTTATATTGATATTGGTGGTTGGGTTACTGGTGATGCTGCTCTTCCCAGTCATCCCTAACTCCACCCTCCTTTTAACATTTTTTTCTTTTTCCAAGTTTTTGTAGTCAGAATATGCTAGATTTATATTAAAAAAAGAAAATACATATTTTTTAAAAAGAAAGATTCTTAATATGTGATTAGATAACAAATGATTTATGCTAAATTTCAGGTAACACCAGTTGTTGCTCTTTCCAATGAGTCCTGGTCCATGTCATTTGCAAAATACCTTGAGCTTAGGTTTTATGGGCACCAGTACACTCGTAGAGCCAATGCTGAGCCATGCGGTCACTCCATCCACCATGATTATCACCAGTATTTCTCCTATAACCAGATGGTGGCATCTTTCAGGTAAGAAGTCAGAGCGGCCTTCTACGCACTCACGTACTCCCTGGAAGGCTTTGTAGCATTTCCACCAGTACTAGATTGAATTAATGGGTGGCATGTGTTCCCCCACCTTTGCAAATGCAGAGGCCCATACTCTTGTGCTAAGCTTCCAGTGCTATTGTTCTGTTTACTCCTTAACCTAAGAGATTGGTATTATTATCCTCACTTGTATTAGCTCACTTGTAAAGCTAGCACACGGTGGAGTCATGATATGAACTAGTCAGAATGATCCTATTAAATGAAAATCAGCTCAGGCCACACCCTCTAATGGGTGTCTATTTCACCCTGAGTGAAAACCAGCGTCTATTATGGACCTGTAAGCTCCTACATGTGCTGGCTGCCCAGTCCCTCCCTGTTCTTACCTCCTTCTGCTCTCCCCTTGCTCACCTGCCTGGGAGCCTTGCACTTGCTCTTCTCTCTTTGTACCTCCCACTCCCTAGCTGTCTGCCTGCTTTTCCTTTCTCCTGCGTATTTTAGTTCAGATTTCACCTGCCCTGACCCCCTCTCACCTTGGCATTTCCTGCTTTATGTTTTTCCATAGCACTTACCATCTGATGTACATATTTTAAGTATTTATTACTCAAATCTAAATCCCGGGGGCTGGAATTTTGGCCCTTGTGTAGTGCTTTATTCTCAACACCTTAAACAACATTTGACACATAGTAGGAAATATCTGTACAGACAGTCCTCGGATTATGTTGGACTCAATGTACATCATTTTGCGGTTACGCCGCCATCTCCCATTTATTAAAAAATAAAAGTTCTGTCATTTCGACGTGTGTACATATGTGCTTTATGTTTTCTATTATTTATTTACCACAAGCAAAGGTCAGGAATTGTTATCTTTTAAATTTTTTTTAATGTTTCACTTCATTACTAATATGCATGTGCTCCACGTGAGTGACGTAGGTGCTTATGTAGGTGGTTCCGACTTACGGCGAAAATCAGGTCGCGCCGTAGGAACGGATCTCCGACGTAACCCGAGGACCTGCTGTAATTGGACCTTATTTCCTTTTCTAAGCAAGTCTTTCTGGCCGTGAACCTAGGGCCTAAGTGGGCTAGAGCATTTACTAGGTGGAAAGACTCCTGAAGAATCCTTGGGAGCCAGGAAGGTGGTGAATACCTGTGTCTGAGCCACCTGTAGGAAGGATGTCTCCTCCCAGTCATTTTGTTTGTAAAGCACAGGAGGGTGGCCGCTAGGGGAATAAAAGATGACTTCATGGTGCAGTGAAAAAACAAAACCAAATGCTTCCAATATTTTTGATTGTTTTAAACGACCATTTTATTGAAACTTTATCTCTTATGCCTCATAGGATTTGACCATTATGATATGCCTTTACTCAAAATATTAACATATTTTTCACTTTTCTATTACTTGTGTTTTCTTCTCTCAGTTATTCTCCCATTAGGCTTCTTGAAGTATGCGTTCCACTCCCCAAAGTATTCATTAAACGCCAGGCCCCATTAAAAGTGTCCCTTCTTCAGGATTTAAAGGACTTTTTTCAAAAGTAAGTTTTAGTTTCTTTGATGTTCTTTTTTGTTCAGAACTACCTATAATCTACAGATATTTTAAAGATCAAGTTTATTCATTTATCTTTCTTTGAAAGCAAATAATGGCATTTTTCTAATTGTATGTTAAATATGCTTGGAAAAATTTAATAAAAAATTAAAATGTAGACAATATATAAAAGTATTTAAAAAGAAGACGAGCCCTTTTAGACATAACAATTGTTAAAATTTTGATGTACATCTTTTCAGGTCTTTTTTGTTCTGAAAAATGGTATAAGATTCTTACTTAGATACAACATTAAAAGTTTTGTGTGTGACATCTTTTTTCTATTTATGTGAGATTAGAAAATTTGATTGCACTTTCATAAAGTGTTTACTATTCTTTCTGTTGTTAGAGTTTCACAGGTCTATCTTGCCATCGATGAAAGACTGGCATCTTTGAAAACTGACACATTTAGCAAAACAAGAGAGGAAAAAATGGAAGATATCTTTGCACAGAAGGAGGTAATTCATTCCTTGGACAGAAACCCAAACGCTAACCATTAACTCACTGGAAGGTGCGTTGGGGCGTGTTTCAGGTGCGGGCTGGGTTGTTCCTGTTCTCGTAGATGGAAGAAGGCGAGTTCAAGAACTGGATCGAGAAGGTGCAGGCGAGGCTCATGTCTTCCTCTGTGGATGCCCCTCAGCAGCTGCAGGCGGTCTTCGAGTCCCTCATTGCCAAGAAGCAGAGCCTCTGTGAGGTGCTCCAGGCCTGGAATAGCAGGTGGGACTGGGCATCCGGTGCGTCTTCACTGTCACTGCGGAACGGGCTCTGCCATGATGTCTTCAGTTTAAGTGTCCTTGTAATTATGGACGTTTAACAGTCTTTAATGTTGTTTCAAATGTTACAGTGTGTGGGCTTATTGACTCTCATCTGAATCATTGTATATCATATTCTTGTATTGAAATATTTATTTTGGGAAGTATTTCCCTTTAGTGTTTATTTAAATGTCCAGTTAGATGAGTATAGCATTCATTTATTGAGCACTTGGGTTATGCTAGGCACTAAATAAACACTAGATGGACATTCACTCTTATTTGGTCTTGTGAGTCCTACAATGTATATACCATTTCCATTTTACAGAGGAGCAAACTATGGCTCTCAGAGACTAAAGGGTGTGCTCAGGTTATGTAGGTGCTAATTGTCAGAGCTGGGCTTGGAGCCCAAATGTATTGGTCTCTAAAGCCCCTGTTTTTAATACAGTGGGGCCTTGACTTACAAGTGTCCCGACTAACGAGTTTTTCGAGATACGAGCCATCTCTCGGCCAATTTTTTGCTTTGAGTTGCGAGCTAAAATTCGGGTTACGAGCCAGCTTCAGATACCCCACCGCTAGTTGGCGCAGTGAACGTCACAGTGAACGCCACAACATCAGTCTCACTCATTCACTGTTGATTTGACATACGAGTAATTTGAGTTACGAGCTCCGTCACGGAACGAATTAAACTCGTAAGTCAAGGCCCCACTGTACTATGTCATGACATCTCTTATAATAACTTGCTGTTCCTTTATATCTATAGTCAAATCAGCAATAGCTCTTGATTAGTTGACTAGAAATAAAACAAAAACTTCGTCTTAGTTATCTACAATCTTAAAACTCCTGCAGTCAAAACAGGAAAATCTAATTACTGTGTTTTCAAAGCTGTAAGGAGAAAATTTGTAAACATTATTGAGGATATCAGAAACAAAACCATTTTCTTTGTTTTCTTCTTTTCCTTTAACTGTAGGTTGCAAGACCTTTTCCAGCAGGAAAAGGGTAGAAAGCGGCCTTCAGTTCCTCCAAGTCCTGGAAGACTGAGACAGGGGGAAGAAAGCAAGGTAAGAAAACGTTTTGAAGCACTTTCCCTTTCCACGGAAGATGTCTCAGCAGACAGAACAGAGCAGAGCAGAGCTGTCTGGCTGGGGAGGGGCCTGGCCCCAGGGCTGCCTCGCCCCAGCGCTGTTCCATAGCTATGCTGTTTTCAGCTGTGCTGTATCACAGTTGAGCTGTGTTCCACTGAATAAAGTTTCCTTTTTCACCAAACCCCAAATCAGGGATTCCTTTTGGCATTGAATTGGTGCCAACAAGCACTGGTAGACAGAATGAACATGAAGCTTTTAGACAATGATCTCTGGAAGAGGAAGTATGACCTGGTAGCTGGAGAGAAACAAAGGGTGATGGACAGGTTTTGTTTTATGATAGACACTAGAGGCCCCGTGCACGGATTCATGCACTGGTGGGGGGGGCATGGCCTATGGGAATCGACCTGCTGTGGGAGTGCACTGACCACCAGGGGGCAGCTCCTGTGTTGAGCATGTGTCCCATGGTGGTCAGTGTGCATCATAGCATCTGGTTGGTCATTCTGGTCGTTCCGATATTCAATCACTGGGCTTTTATATATATAGGTAATAGCATATTTACATGCAGTGGAGAAGGTGAGAACGCGGAGAGAATATATTCCATGAGCAAAGAAAGACTCAGATGAGACAGAGGGAAGTGCTGACCTCTAAAATAGGTTGGAAGGAAAGGAAGGGAGTGCAGATGTGGGTAAATATGCAAGTGAGAAGGGAAAAGTTTCTGATCAGACAGAAGGCAAGGGTGAGATTCATCTCTGGCTTCTGCATTTAACCTGTTAAGCTATTAAGCTATACATTAAAGTATTTGTGAAAATGAAAAACAATGCCTCTATTACCAATTTTTTGAAAAGAGCTATTTTTAATTAAAGTGTGTTATTTATGTTAATATATAGTGGGTTTGTTATTTTTAAATGAATTAATAAATGCATATCCTGAAACTTTCAGTTTTAATTTCTAATAAGGTAAAATTTGAAGATATAACTTACATAAAAGCTGAGTGTCTTAATAATTCTTAAGGGTTGAAGGGGTCATGAGACCAGAAAACTTAAGATTCACTTGGTTAAAAGTTTTAGTGTTCCCTTAAGAACAAAGTGTTTTCTTCTCTACAGATAAGCACGGTGGATGCACCTCCACGGAATGTTTCTCCAGGGCTTCCGAATGGAGAAAAAGGTTGGTCCTTGAGCCTAGTGATCACCTGCCATTAGATTTAAAGACATTATTATTATTAGTCTAGTGCAGTGATGGCGAACCTATGACACACGTGTCAGAGGTGACACGCGAACTCATTTTTTTGGTTGCTTCTTCTTTGTTAAATGGCATTTAAATATATAAAATAAATATCAAAAATATAAGTCTTTGTTTTACTATGGTTGCATATATCAAAAAATTTCTATATGTGACATGGCACCAGAGTTAAGTTAGGGTTTTTCAAAATGCTGACACGCTGAGCTCAAAAGGTTCGCCATCACTGGTCTAGTGGTTGTTTTTTACTGCTAATTTTGACAATTACTTTGATTGTAGCTTTATCAGTTTAAGATTATTATAAAGTATATTTCAAGGAGAGAAATTAGGAGCTCAAAATAAACAATAAACAGAGAAGACAGCTGTTAGGGGAAGAACAAGAAGGAAAAAGGAGACTGAATGTCTGCTTTGCTAGTTCCAAAGTCAGCCCCCAGGTTTCAGTGCAAACGTCTTACAAAGTTTAATTAGGTTTTTATGTCACTAAAATTTTTTCTAGATTTTAGCTGTCTTTCACAATATTTCATTGAATAACTTGGTGGCATCCTAGCAAATTGTCTAGGTTCTTACTTAGACCATCTTTGTAGAACAAGAGCTCAGCTCATATAGTTCTTTGCATTTTTCTATTATAATTAAGTGAATTTTCCCCCCTGAGAAGGTGGCGTATAATCTTTTCCAATAGTGTAATAATTTCATTCTCTATTAAATTGAACTAATAAACATAACTTTGCATTATGGTCTATTGCAAAGAATATTGGTAGGAGTCCGACTTGGTTAAGATCTGGTCATAGTCAAGTCATATAGCCTGTCTGAATTTTTGTACCCATATCTAAAATATGCACTAAAATGGCCTAATTTTTAGGAAGCTGAAATACTTTGGTTTTTGAGGTAAAACTGTGAGTTGGCTTTTTAAAAGCATTGCGATCAGGTAGAAATGGACTTCATGTTTCCACATGACTCATCTAAGCTGTGCTTTTCTGCAGAGGACCGCTTCCTAAGCAACCTGTCCAGTCAGAGCTCCACCAGTTCTGTCCACCTGCAGCTGCCTACTCCCCCTGAAGCGATGCCTGAGCCGGCGGGGGGAGGGCCGCCAGAACTGGACTCAGCCAGCGTTTCCGAAGGTACAGCTCCGGTCACTTTCCCTGCATTTCATCCCAAAGAGAAAAGCACTCTGAATGCTTTGACACAATGCTCTCTTATCCCTTAACAGTGATTCTGAACCTTCTGGCCCTTTAAATACAGTTCCTCATGTTGTGACCCAACCATAAAATTATTTTTGTTGCTACTTCATAACTGTAATGTTGTTACTGTTATGAATCATAATGTAAATACCTGATATGCACGATGATCTTAGGTGACCCCTGTGAAAGGGTTGTTCGACCGCCAAAGGGGTCACGACCCACAGGTTGAGAACCGCTGTCTTAGACTTTACACATTTTATGCTATTGAATATGCTCTCTTAACTATAGCTTTTTACCTTGTCACCTCTTCAGTTCTCTATGTGACATGTAAATATCTCAATAACAAAACATTATTCAGCTTTATCTACCTTCTGGGGGTATTACTTTCTTAAGTCCCATAAAGCACATGATTGTTGCCTTGTAAGAAAATAAGAAAAATTGCAGCCATTTCTCCAACAACAAATAGGTATTGCATTAATAGCAAATCTATGCATTGCTTCTCTTCTTCCTTGCTTTCTATTTAAGCAGCAACTACTTCCTTAAAAATACCTTAAAAATAATTTTTTAGGTGCAGTTAATCTCATGTGGAATAGCCACAGTACACAGAATTGAGTTGCAGTGGCAACGTGAAGAGCTGAGTTCATACTCAGGCAGTAATTCCATCGTGACTGCTGCCTGGCCTCTGCCATCGCTTGTAGGTGGATCTCAGTGTCAGAAACGTTAAAGTGTAAAAGAGTGAACCCCTTGGAGTCAGTGCTGTGTATGCTTCATTGTTGCTTTCTGATTCATTCTATAATAATTGTTATTCCAGATCGGAAATTTACACCATCACTGGTAATTATCCTGTGCCTACATCTGAGTTCCAAAACGGAAATGAAATTGATGCTTTATACTTTTTTAAAACTCTCTTGAATATTAACATATAAGTAGAATATTTTTCATCTTAGACGTGTTTGATGGACATTTGCTGGGATCCACAGACAGCCAGGTGAAGGAAAAATCAACCATGAAGGCCATCTTTGCAAATTTGCTTCCAGGAAACAGCTATAACCCCATTCCGTTTCCTTTGTGAGTATTATAAAGGCCAGTGGCTGTTGAGTGGTTTTGTTTTTACTTCATTAAAAAAATCTACCTAGATTTACTCTCTCTATATTTAAATGTGCTTACTTGACTGTATATCTATTTCTCAACCCTAGAATACATTTCGTCATAGTAAAAGAGATGTCTTTTGGTATAATGTAATTTGTACGACACCATTGTTATATAATAGATGAATAGATGAAAAAGGATTAACTAATGTTGCTTAAGATACTGATTCTGAAAATAATTGTTTATATATTTTAAGATATATTGCTATATCTCATAATCCTAAAAACATATTGCTGATTATATACAAAGATGATATTATTGATCCAATAAGTTGCTGGGACACCGTTCTTTTCTAACAGGTGTGATGAATTACAATGGCCCATAAAGTGTTCATGTGACCTTGTTTGTACTGGGCTTGCTCACAGTGGGAAAATATATAGACTGGCTGTGAGAGTTTTTCTTCTGCTCATTGACCTGTTTGGTTGTCAGATGCTGCTTAATAAGGACTTTTTCTTAACTGAATTATGTGTTTATTAAACTTCTCTCAGGCGTTCTCACAGTCTTGGGGGAGAGACAAGCCGAGACTCACGATACAGTAATCTTTCTACAGGGATGGGCAAAAGTAGGTTTACAGTTATTCATGTGGAGAATACTACAATAAATAATACAAGAATAAACTGCGTTTCACGTACAACTCTAAACCCACTTTGCCCCACCCTGTATAATAGTCATGTGTAAAGGTGCTGTTTTCTCTGCTTTAGACTCAGATGTCTTAGTTTCTTCACAGGGTTATGGTCCCTCTTGTTTTATGGTTATTGCACATACCCTCACTTTCTTCTTAGTCATTAACTCCCCTGCATTGTTTCTCTGAAAACCTTAGTAGACTCTCCCCCCAGCTCCCTGCCCCAACCAGCGTAGGTCTCTGTTGTACACACTTATGATTCCCTCATGGCACTTACCACAGACGGTAATTATATTTTTTATAGGATTACTTGTTTCTTTACCTTGCTGTACTATAAACTCTGCCATTCCTATTTTTTTCACAGTTGTATTGTTAACATCTTGCACAAGTCAGATGCTTAGTAATAGTTTTTCTTAATATTGTGCATCTAGCCCATTAGTTCTCAGACAAATGAATGAATGTTTCTGTAGGGGGTTTCGGGTGGAAGTTGGGGGAGCAAGATTTGGGTTAAAACTCCATTGAGTTTCCACATGCTGATAGGAGAGCAAAGTTGTTATTTATTTCTTGTTGGACTAGTATTACGTTTCCATAATTCCTAGCAGACTTTTCTTTCAAGCTTATAGTAGAACAAAATCTTTCACACTTCTGCTGTTCATTGTAAACCCTCTTTGAGATAAATATGGTCTAAAGTCTTGCCAGTGTGGAAAAGCTTATTTTGGAGTGACTATTCTGAGCCCTCTGATTTGAAAACTAATTCTGATAATTTTCAATTGCCTTTAAAACTTTTCTGTTGATATATTTTCTTCGGCTCTTTTTTTTTTTTTTTTCGTTTTCCCCCCTTTGGCTCTTTGATACAAGTTTTGTATACATTTTGGCTTTACTTAATTATATTCTTATAATTAGGCAGTCTGTAGTTAAGATTGTCCTGAGATTTACTTGCAACGTGTTAATTGTATATTTGATTTTTTGCTAATTTTGTTCTTATTTATGTATTTGAAAATCTTGAACAGCGATCCAGATAAACACTACTTAATGTATGAACACGAACGGGTGCCCATTGCGGTCTGTGAGAAGGAGCCCAGCTCCATCATTGCTTTTGCTCTCAGGTATTATTCTTAGGGCTTTTTCACCTATGATTATATTTTTATATTTTTTGTATATTTATTAATTGCCTTACTGTTGATATCTGTCACATAGACTAGAGCAAAAGATGAAATATAGTAAAAGCGTATATACTCTTTGGGTGAGGTAGCTTATTTTCATTGTATCTGAAGATGTACTCTTTACCCAACTAATTACAGAATGATTCTTTTTTTAAAAATTTTTTGTTGATTTTAGAGGAAAGGCAGGAAAAGGAGAGATAAGAGGGGGGAAAGGGAGGGAGAGAGGGAGAAAGAAAGAGAAACATTGATTTGTCTCACTTATTTATGCACTCATTGGTCTAATCCTGTATGTGCCCTGACTGGGGATCTAACCTGCAACCTTGGCTTATCGGGACAATGTTCTAACCAACTGAACTACCAGCCAGGGTATTACAGGATACTAGGCAAGCTACTTACTAATCCTTCTATCCTCTAACCACTTTCTGTCTTATAGTATGTAACTGTTGTATCCCTTCCTTCAATATACTTATTGACATAATACTTAGAACGTATCTGCCATTTTTCATCTGAGTATCGTCTTTTATACTCTTCATTCGTTTCCTTCCTGCTTCCCACACTTAACAGGTGATGTTTCTTAAAGCAATACTGTTCCGATGCCTTAACCGATTTATGTGCCCACAGTTATCATGGGTCTTAAAGAAGCTCTTGTTCCCTGACATTTGCTTTAATCTCAATCAGGGTCCCCAGACTTCTAGTCCAAGAGTTGGATTTTTTTTCGGCCAATGCAACATAAAAATTTTTCTGGGTAAAGTTCAGTACCTTTAACTAGAAAAGCGCTCTCAAGTTCCTTCCCTCTCTATTATCTAAACCCTGAAGCTGCATACTTTTAAGTCAGCTTTGAGCCCCTACACGCATTTGATAAGTGTCAGTATGCAGGCTTTCATAGTCTTTTTTAGGATATTGATACTGGTTGGTGTGTTGGGTTGTATTTTGTATTCTCTCTGAAGACATTGACCTCCATGAAGTTTCTACTTGATTACTTTGGTTAGTTAAATGTGTTTGTTTCCTTAGAGATACTTCTAATGATTGTGTTTTCATAGTGCAGAGCTTATGTGAAAGTATATGATTTATTTTAAAAGGAGGGCTTAATGTTTAACATTTCTCAACCTGTTTCTACCCTCAGTTGTAAAGAATACCGGAACGCCTTAGAGGAGTTGTCCAAAGTGAGCCCGCGGAGCAGTGCCGAAGAAGGGCCTCCCACCACCAGGTGACCTGCGATTGAGTGGAGTCTGTTCTAATGTGGCTGTGCCATCATTTTCTAAATTCTCAATAAATGATAAATAATTCACTTTTATCAATATGAACGTTTCTAGGACCCACACTTATATTTTAGCTAATAATTGATAGGACAAAATTCAAATGTAGCAAAAGATCTTAAACTGTTTCTTTGGATACTGTTCAGTGGTTCTCAACCTTCTGGCCCTTTAAATACAGTTCCTCATGTTGTGACCCAACCATAAAATTATTTTCGTTGCTACTTCATAACTGTAATGTTGCTACTGTTATGAATCGTAATGTAAATATCTGATATGCAGGATGGTCTTAGGCGACCCCTGTGAAAGGGTCGTTCGACCGCCAGAGGGGTCACGACCCACAGGTTGAGAACCACTGGTTCAGATGATTGCCATAGAAGTTCAATGTATACTGCAGTTTTAAACTTTTAACAGTTTTAATTCTCTTTGTTTTCATTTTAAAAAATATTAACCTGAAATTAGTAACCAACTGTTTGTCTTTATAACTTAAAAATATTTGTGAACTTTCCATAATAATTAAAGATCCTAATAATTAAAACAAAACAATAACCCCCAAACCGATTCTGGCATTTGGACCGAAATTGTCATAGGTTCATTATTTTTATTCTTATTGGAATAGGTTTTCCAACTTTACTAATGTGACAGAATTTTACTTGAATTATATATTATGATGACTAGCATGAGAAATGGGAAATTGGTATTTTCTGTAATTGTTTGACTTATAGATGCTAATATAACACTAACGGACTTGGGAAAAATATTATTAAAATTTATGCTCTCATATTTTTCCACACATATTTATAGTTATAATATTTTACTTTCTTTTTCTGAAGTCCAATAGACATTTCAAGACTTCTTTTTCCATGTTCTACCCTGTGTGTATATAAGTCATGAATCAGATTTATGCTATTGTGAGTGAGGTAGGTGGGGAGTAGATTAATGCAGGAATCAGAGTACTTGCTATTTTCTGTCTGAATAGTGTAAAACCAACTTTTCTTCTGTTTTTTCATTTTTAGTACTTTAGACAGCAGACCAAAGAGCAGCAGCCCCATTAGATTACCCGAGAGCAGTGGAGGACAGACAAACCGCACAGCAGAAGCAGAACCACAGCCAAGTAAGATTGCAAATGGAGAAGGAGTTATTATTAGTTTTGTTTGTAATTGTGGGCAAGAATTTATTCTGGTCTTTGATATACAATATGGGCTGAAAATTTCTTGTATATCCTTCTTTATACATAGTTTGCTATTGTTTGATTCTTGTTTATTGACTTTGGAACTCCTAGAGACTCTTAGGTCTATGCAAAAGCCAGCAGGACCTGCCTTCCCACCTACGCTTTCAGTTTAAAGTGTACAACCTAAGAAATATAACAGCAACATCTTTGTTGTTTTATAGTGTTGTTGGCATTGTGCAAAGAACTTCTTATGTATTATCTCCTTTAATCCACACAGTAACCAAATAAGAGTTATTTACCATATCCCAATTTTCCCAAAAGGAAGTTTAAATTAAGTTAAGCAATTTGTTCAAGATTACTATACAGCTACTGGAGAATTGGAATTTGAACTTGGGTCTTTGTCAGTTAAGAATGTATCCACTACAAGTAACAGAAAACTCATGGCTGTTGGGGTTTAAACAAGTGGCAGTTTATTTTTCTAAAATAACGTCTGCAGGTAGGTAGTTGCTGGCAGTGGTTTAGCAAGTCACCATTGTCATGACAGCATAGGGGTAGTTAGTTTTTCTACGATTCTCTTAAGTTTTACTCATGGTTGGAAATGTTCCACTGAACATCTTTATTTGAGGCAGAAAGAAGGGAGGTATAAGCTGCAGCCATTCCCTTTTACTAGCAAAGCAGAGACCTCCCCTTCAGGTTCATTAGCTAGGACTGCTTCACATGGCCACCCCTCCCTGCAAAGGAGACTGAGAGAGTGATGCGCATGTCCTAGTCGGCTTATGCAAATCATTCATTTCCTGGGGCTGTTCACATGGTTGCCCAACTCCCCTCCTTGAATTGAAGTTCAGTTAGCAAGGAACAAGGTAGGATTAGATATAAAGGAGGCCATTCTGATTTCTAACATCCTAAAGTAAGCACTTTATGATTAACATTTGATAAGGATCTTATAGATTGTAAATGTCCAAGATTAAAATCATATATACTAAGCTCATAGATCATATGTATTAAGCTCAAAACTAAGAATAAAAGTATAGAGCAAACTTTAGTAATATTTTTGGCCATCCCATACTACCTACTTTCTGAAAAAATGTTAAAAAACAAACTCATATTTTGTTGTATTAAAATGTAAGAACACAAATGATATAATGATGTTAACTTTGAATTCCCATAGCTCATAATGTTTTTTGAGTTAGTTTTAATTGTAATGCTATAACAATTCAGCCCTAACTTAATCTTGTTGCTTAAGATGTTATGACTGCCTTGGAAATATATTTTTCAAAGGTTTTATTAGAATTTCTCACCTTTTGATACATAGCTATCTGACCATTGTTCTTTTTCTGTTTCTGTTAATAAGAGTGCTCGACTGCCCTCCCCAAACTCATAAAAATTATGGAATAATAATCTGTGCAAATGAAAGTATCAGTGTTACTAATATTTATTATCCTTAGAAAATGGTTACTGCAAATAAAGAAATGAGTTGAAAATTTTAATTTTTCCACCTGTAGTGACCAGTACTTAATATGTTGCCTCTTATTTTTAGCCAAAAAGGCTTCTGGAATGTTGTCCTTCTTCCGAGGGACGGCAGGGAAAAGCCCTGATCTCTCCTCCCAGAAGAGAGAGACCTTACGTGGGGCAGATAGCGCTTACTACCAGGTCGGGCAGACGGGCAAGGAGGGGACAGAGAATCAAGGCATCGAGCCTCCAGGTGTGTTAAAGGGAGACCGAGCATGCTTACTCTAAGCTTTGATTGACATAGTTTAGTTGCTTATTTCCTTAGAGCTGTAAGTAGATGATTCTTACTACTGAAATCAGGGCCCCTCACTCCTCACACTCAGGGTGGTAGAGTGGAAGAGCATGGCACTTGGAGAGTCCGCTGGTTTCCGATGTCATTGCAATCACTTACTGCGAGGTAGAGTCAGAAATCCTTCCCTCCCCACCTGTAATGTGGCAAAAAGCAATCAATGTCTCCTAAGGTTTACATGACATTACACATGTAAGACATGTGTCTCACATGCAGCTCACAGTATATATTCAAATGGTTCTCTTCCACTAACCCCTCAGATGTTCTTTCCAGTCCCTGCACGGTTGAGGCTATTGCTGTCCACCTTCATTTGATAGTTAGGACATATGTCTAGCTGATTGTGTTTGAGTCTGGAGTTAGACCAGGAGTTAGCAGCCTTTGCTGACCTGTTTTTGTAACTAAAGTTGTTTTGGAACATAAGCACACCCATTCAGTTACTTACTGTCTGGCTGTTTTTATGTATGTGTTGGCAAATTGAGTAATTGTGACTTAGTAAAATACTTTAACATCTGGCTCAAATACATTGGTAGTCGATTAGATCATGAATTTAGTAGTTTATTTAAAAAATAGCAACTGCCTGATAAATCTTCATTATTATTTTAAGATACTTGTTTAGTATTCTATAAGCTGCTATTGAGCTCAGATCCTTGGAGGGCTTTGGTGCTTTGGAAAAAATAATTTTGAAATATGAAACTTGAAGGATGACTTATTCTAGATGTTAAAAATATTCCTAATCTACAGTAATTAAACTGGATCTGTCAGTAGGTGTGCCACACAGATCAGTCAAATATAAAACAAAAGTAGCTCTGAAGAAGACACTAGTATATTTTATGTATTATAAATATTTTAGTATATGATATAGAAAGAACCACAAACCATTGGAGAAGTATTATTCCCCGCATGGGGGAAACTGGTCATAAACTCTGAATAGAAAATCTTGATGTAAGAGCTGAGTTAGTATATTGCTATTATAGGAATCACTGAAGTATAAGCAAAATTATTCTTTACCCTAAAGTCTCTATTTTTTAATTTGAAAATTGATCTTGCAAAAGGTACACACATTTTTATTATAAACTATTATTGTAATACTTTACAATAAAAGTTGTATACAGTGCATGCATGAGAGCGACTTGGCTAAGATAAAGAGGGTCCGTTTTTATTGTTATGTCAGGGGAGAAAGAACAGACAAAATGAAGTGATAACTAAAATTTTGGCTTGACTAATGATATTAAACTTTTCAGATGAAGTTGATGGAGGAGATGCACAAAAGAAACAACTCACGAATCCTCATGTGGAGCTCCGTAAGTATGAGATAAAATGTTGTTGATTTAGGCCCAGGGACTATAGTTGAGCAAACTCTATTATTTGAAGTTTTCAGTTACATTCTAGATAAGTATTCTATTCCTTGAATATTAAGTCTGTGTGCTGATGTAGTTTTAATTAGTTTCAATCTCGTTCATGAAATATACGTTATTCACTTACAAAGAAAGTTAATTTTTACACTTAATTGAAATGATAATTTTTAACCCTTAAATTATAATTTCTAATGTTTTAATAATTACTTATTGTGTAATCTGGAGCCATAGAGTCTTGACAAGGTATCTAGAATTGTGTGTATGTGTGTGGGTGCTAAAAACTTATTACCCAGAATATTATATACCATATGTAAAAGTACAATGATGAAAATACAGTAACCAGTATAAAGTCAGAAATGGGTCTTATATTATGTTTGACTTTTATGTAAATATGGAAGGGTGGTCATTAGGAGCTCTCTAATCCTCTCTAAAAATCACTTTAACAAGATTATGATGAACAGGGATATAGTAGGCTTAACATGAAAAACACTATTGTGGAGAAAATTAAATGGCTGTGTTTGGTGGGAGGTGTGGAATTGGACAAG